TGGCAGAAAAGCTGCACCCCGTCTCTGGGTACAAACTTTCGCCATTCGTTACAACTACCCTATACATCAGCTTGAGCTACGGAAACATGACAAGCCACGATGCGGAGAAGTGTTTTGAGGTCCAACAAACAGAAAACGAGCACTTAAAGCTATGTCAGCACAATCAACACATAATGCCACATCATTAGTGCATATTGACCCAGACGAAGCAAGATGTACGCAGTGGAGAGATTCTCAATTGTCTGCTTTTTTTTACCAAGCGGACTCAGTCCCTGGGGCAAAGCACATTCTCTGGGGTGAAACTAACGGCTACCATTCTGTGAGGGCAGGGCTAGCATACAGTAGTTGCAGTTGCGGTACGCTGGTGCTGCGCACCACAATGCTAAAAAGCTTTCCCAGACCTAGTTTTTTAGATTGCACCAAGGGGCAGCGTAAAGCCGTAAAATCGTAAAGTTCAATTTTCTTCAAAAAAGCTCTTTGATTTTTTGAAAAAATTGCCAACTTTACACTTTACTACTTTATGGTTTTATGGTTTCATGATGCGATTTTCAATCTAAAATGTAAAACCAAAGGTAACTGAGAGAGGGCGGAATTCAAAAATAGCCACGAACTTTTTCGCACGACTAGGAAGGGTGTTTTGGGTTTGTTCCCGTTTCATCCTTTTCCAATGGATGAATATTTCAATCAGCAACATGACAAGAAGAGTGTCAAGACTGTCTATGTCCGTGTCAGGTCTCAAAAAGTATCAAATCAAGCCCCCTCTTTAAAGTCATTTTCACCTTGGTTCGCGGCAATGATTGGAAAGCAGGCGCCTATGGAAACATGGATGTTGATAAACAGGACGAGATGGACGACAGGCAGCATCCATCAACCGATTTGCATGTGCTATCACCTTGGGACATGCATGTCAAGAACCACCACTGGTTCCTTCTTGCGCTGGAAACCTTCATGACAGACATGCTCCCAAACTGCGGAATTTTGTCCATAGTCAATGACACGTTTGAAGCCAAGCGCTGATGTTGAAAATGAAGCCAAAAAGTGGCTTCATCTATTGAAAATTAGAAAGAAGCGCAACAAAAAATGGAAACTGAAAATGGCATCAGGCCTTCACCGGCGAGCAGCGCAAAGTCTACTCAATAGCCTTTGTTTTTTCATTGCCACGCTGCAGTCGCATACGCGCGGCGTTTAAGAAAACGTTGTCGTCGTCACCGCTGGCAGGCAATCGTGCCTTCAGACAAAAGCAGCTTCCCTGAAATACTTTGAACAGAAAAACAGTGACCAGGAAAAAATGAAAAGCACACTTCAATAAATGTTCTTTTTGCTGGTGGGCGCCGTCACTTTTGTTCTTCAGAGCTGATCAACCGTTTCAAATCGGCGTTCCTGAAGACCCCAAGATCAAAACCGGCAAAATATTTAGATAAAAATTTCATCCATTGGGAAAGGATGAAACGGGAACAAGCCCAAAACACCCTTCCTAGTCTTGCGAAAAAGTTCGTGGCTATTTTTGAATTCCGCCCTCTCTCAGTTACCTTTGGTTTTACATTTTAGATTGAAAATCGCATCATTAAACCATAAAACCATAATGTAGTAAAGTGTAAAGCTGGCAATTTTTTCAAACAATCAAAGAGCTTTTTTGAAGAAAATTGAACTTTACGATTTTACGGCTTTACGCTGCCCCTTGGTGCAATCTAAAAAACTAGGTCTGGAAAAGCTTTCTAGCATTGTGGCGCACAGCACCAGCGTACCGCAACTGCAACTACTATGTGGTGACATGTTTGCATTGCTAAGAATCCGGGTGAAATTTGAAGCCATTTCCAGCTTCACGATATGTCCCTGCAATGTAAATAAAAAAACATGAGCTACGGACTGCTTTGCAGCAC